TTGTTTGCCAAAAGAGATACGTAAACCATTTTGCGGAATTGGTAGGCTATTTTGGCGGAAGCGATCTACCTCCTCCAACAAGCAGGTGTAAGTTGAATGTACGTGTGTCATTAGTCGACCCATTACCTGAAGCGGTAGACCGATTGCCTCAAGTGGTGGACCGCTGATAACCCGATATTTGCACATGTTTTGCCCACTATTCTTGTACCGTTTGGGAGTCAATTCTCATGTTTTAAGCTGATTTCACGCTAGTTTGTTCTTTTATGTCAAATTTTAGGACTTGGAGCGGAATTGGAGACTTGGAAGCGAGTTTCGGGTAAAAAATGGAGAGTTGGCAGAAAGTAGAGATGGAAGGGGTAAATACCTGGTCAGGTCACCTAAATACCCGATCGGGTATAGGCAACAGAGGTCTGGTATTTCTCTAGTGAGGACCAGGAGGCCCCCCGGTCGTGAACCATAAATACACAATCGGGTATTTTTACCAGAGGTCGGGTATTTTCCCCTTTGTGCGAGAATCTGCTGCACACCGTTTATGTAATACCCGATCTGACCCTAAAATACCCGACCGAGTATTTGGACCGTGTTTCGCCAGCTCGGGCAGTTACAAGCTGAACACGGGTTTTGGTCTCATAGTCGTATTTTAGAGCATAAAATAGAGAGTTAGAGAGAGAAAGTGACGAACCCATCCTCTACATGATGATTTTTGCATCTGAAGCTGATTTCCTCTCTCTCTCTCTCTCTCTATGGAGTAAACTCCCTCTCTCACCTGGGAATGAAGAACCCTAGAGTTGTATGTTAGGTTTGATTGTATGAACCCAAGTACATGACATTTTGTTATTGATTATATTCAACTGAGGCATGATTTCAGAATTGCATGAGTTTTGATCACATTCTTATATATTCTACTTTGACCTAGAAAGAGAATATCTGCATAGGTTGATAGAGCACCCTTGAATGAAGGTGGTGAATTGACTACTTTAGTCGAGAAGTCAGTTCACTGCTCTGTACTGGATTTGATGCGGTAGAGGAGGTTTTGCACGTTAGGACCTCAGTTCGTTTATTCCGGTAGAGGTTAGTAGCCCGCCGGGTATTCAGATTGTGAGGATCTGAAGACCTTTAGTCGAGACTTCAGACTGAATAAGAACCTTCTACAGTATAACTATCATTATATCTGAACTTGGTGAATTACAATTCGGCTTAACTACAATCTAGGGGGAACCTTATCCGAGTGACCACTCTCGAACTTGAATCACATATGCTTTGTGTGGATCTGAAGACCTTTAGTCGAGACTTCAGACTGAATAAGAACCTTCTACAGTATAACTATCATTATATATGAACTTGGTGAATTACAATTCGGCTTAACTACAATCTAGGGAGAACCATATCCGAGTGACCACTCTCGAACTTGAATCACATATGCTTTGTGTTTGATTAGATTAAATACAACTTCACTACGTTCAAATTGTTGAATAACGAGAACTTCACGGAGTAGTCATCAAATCTAGGACCTAGGATGACAAGTAAAGCTAAATCGGCTATACTACGCATTAGTTTGTAGTTACACTTGGCCACTTTCTAGTGTGACGGTATTGGCGAGTCAACCCCTTGGTGGAAGTGGTAGACTGTTTTCTTGGAAAGTGGTCGACCACTTGGTGGAAGAGGTCGACTACTTGGTGGAATAGGTCGACCACTTAAAGGTAATTGTGTCATCAGGTCGACCCATATCTGAAAGCGGTAGACCGGTTGACTCAAGTGGTAGATCACTTACTGGAAGAGGTCGACCATTTCTTGGAAAGTGGTCGACCACTTGGTGAAAAAGATCGACCATTAGAAGGTAAGTGTGTCATCAGGTCGACCTATTTTCGGAAGTGGTAGACTGGTTGACTCAAGTGATAGACCACATGGTGAAAGAGGTCGATCGTTTTCTCCAAGTTACGCTGACTAGCAAGTCACCAGACATACCATTTCTTTTATTATTATAAAAATAGTTATATGATCATCTAATAATAATATTATTTTATTTTTTCTCACCTCCAAAAAATTCTCAGCCTCTTCATGGGGTTTTCCCAACATATTTTAATACTATTTAGGTAGATACGTTTCTGGAACAATCGATCCACTAGCTACTTCGGTACCTTCGGATCTGGGGTGTTTCCCTCCCTTCGTTACCACAAAAAAATATGTAACAAAAAAATGTAGGGTTAATATTTTCGTATGGCCTGAACTTTGACCAAAATAAACATTCTGACCAATCTTTTCGATCTATAACATCCTGGCCCGAACTATACATCCAAATAAACAATTTGGCCAGATCCGACTTTTGACCGTTAACTTGGACGGTCAAACGCGTTGACCGTTAGTCAACGCGCCATGTCACTGCCAAATGAGCATAAAATATTTAAAATAATTCACAATTTCCACACATTCCCTAATTTTAAATTATTATAAATTAAAAAAAATCATCTAATACCTTAGTTAAACAAAAAATAAAAAACGAAAAAAATTAAATATTTATCAGATCTTTTGACTTGGCAGTGACGTGGCGCGTTGACCGTTAGTCAACGCGTTTGACCGTCCAAGTTAACGGTCAAACATCGGGTTTGGCCAAATTGTTTATTTTGGTGTATAGTTCGGGCCAGGATGTTATAGATCGAAAAGATTGGTCAGGATATTTATTTTGGTCAAAGTTCAGGTCATACGAAAATATTAACCCAAAAATGTATTGTTCTGGCCACCCAACATTCAACATCTCATTCTCAAGCCCAAACTCCACACATGCCTGCTTTCCTATAATTTATTCATCAAATATCAATATCAATATCAATGTACCAGTGGCTACGGTTTTCCAATGAAGAAACATAATAGACATGGGGATAGCTACACGCCAAAAAAAAAAAAAAAAACTTTCTCCACCCACTTGAACAAAAAGTGTGCGGAACAATTCAATCGAGTGAGTATGATATAAGATGTATAATAATTTTTTATTTAATAATTTGGTTATTGGAATCGATTGGTTTTGAACTTTTGACATAGTATTAGTGTCGTTTGGTATGGCCATGTGGTCATGTGCTCAAATCTCCACAACCTTCAATATTAACCGTTGATTAAAGCACAAAGTATGGTGAACCTATGCAATGTGGAAGTATGTAAAGAGTAATTCTATTGATGGAATCTCTTTCTATTGAGTTGATACAATAGTACAAGCTATCTATATATATACATGCATTCAAACAGTAAAATAAGTAGATGGTTATAAGTGTAGTTGGCAGAAGATAAGGAGAGTAAAAGCTATCACATGGTTCTCTGAAGATGGATAGATGGCGAGAGCAGAGCAGTGGTGGAGGGAAATAATGGTGATGGTGTGAGCATGGTCTTCTGTAGAATGATATGGGTTCTATTCTAAATTATATCTCTATCACGCCCCCGCAAGATGGAGGCGGGAACGACACCAATCTTGGATCGAAGAAGAAGATAACGTGGGGTTGAAAGCGGTTTAGTGAGAGCATCGGCTAGCTGATGAACGGTGGAGATCTCCATGACAAACGCGCAGGCGAGCAGATTGCACAAGTTCTCTCACAAAGTGGAAGTCTAATGCCAAATGCTTCATTCTCGAGTGGAAAACTGGATTTGCAGAGAAGTTTACTGCACCAAGATTATCACAATAGAGGACAGGAGGATTGGGAGGGCGATGATGAAGCTCGATTAATAAATTTTGCAACCATTCAAGTTCAGCGGAGGCATGGGCAAGAGCTCGATATTCAGCCTCGGTGCTAGAGCGGGCAACAGAACGTTGCTTCTTTGACTTCCAAGAAACAAGATTACCTCCAAGATAAATAAGGTAGCCCATGGTCGAGTGGCGATCATTAGGATCTCCGGCCCAATCAGAATCAGCAAACGCTTCTAGTGTAAGAGAAGTGGAGTGTCTAAGCTGTAAAGCAAGCTGACGAGTACCCTGTAGATACCTCAAGAGACGCTTGACAGACTGCCAATGAAGTTGGGATGGTGCATGCATGAACTGAGATAGTTTGTTGACTGCAAATGCGATATCAGGACGAGTGCAAAGTAAGTACTGAAGTGCACCGAGCACTTGCCTGTAAAGTGTGGCATCAATAAGGGCAGAGCCATCATGAAGCATAAGTTTGGCTGACGTGCAGAGCGGAGTTGGAGAAGGCTTAGCATCAGCCATCTGAAAACGGTCAAGAACATCGGATATATACTTCTGTTGGGATAGGAGAAAACCAGAGGGACCGGATAGGATTTCAATACCCAAAAAATAATTCACCTCGCCTAGTTGTTTTAGTGAGAAGCGAGAGGCAAGATGCTCTTGAAATCGATTGAGCAAATTAGAATCATTCCCTGTGAGAAGAAGATCATCAACATAGACAAGGAAGTAGAGCAAGACCCCATCATGATGGTAGACAAATAAGGACGCATCGGACTGCGTTTTGACGAAGCCATTACTCTCAAGAAAACTGCACAATGACAAATACCACGAGCGAGGAGCTTGTCGAAGTCCATAGATAGGACGATGGAGACGGCACACAAAGTCAGGGGTTTTGGTATTGAGAAACCCTGGTGGTTGAGCCATGAAGACTTCCTCTTCTAAAGAGCCTTGGAGAAAGGCATTGTTGACATCAAACTGGAAGATAGGCCATTGGTGTGAGAGAGCAATGTGGAACACTGTCCGAACCGTGACAGGTTTAAGTACTGGGCTGTAAGTAGCATGAAAATCAATGCCTGGCCGTTGATTGAAGCCCTTGGCCACTAATCGAGCCTTATATCGATCAACGGTACCATCCGCCTTGTACTTTATTCGAAAAATCCAGCGACAACCAACAAGGTTTTGGGTGGAAGCTGGAGGGACTAGTGACCAAGTGCCATTAGAGGTGTGGGCGGACAATTCCTGTAGCATGGCGGCACGCCAACGAGGATCGGCAAGAGCTTGCTTAACCGAGGTAGGTTCAAAATGAGAAGATACCTGAGCAGTAAACATCTTTTTAGGCTTGAAAATACCATGTTGACTGCGAGTCACCATCCGAAGAGGTGGAGCTGAGGGCGGTGGGAGGACAGCAGGTGATGGTGGTGGCGTGGGCGGTGAAGGAGCTGGCCGTGGGGAGGCAGACTTCTCGGAGGCAGAATAAGGGGATGGCGATGTAGGTTGTGTACGAGCAGGAGCAGAAGTGATGCCCGGATGTGTTGATGAAGAGGGGGCTATTTCAGTAGTTGGCTGTCTGGGAGGGTGAGGCGCTGTGGAAATAGAAAGAGGGACAAGCTGCACAGTCGGAGTGGTGGAGGCAAGCCACTCTGATGAAGACAAGGAGGACTCAGAACTAGGGGGAAGACCAGGAAAAGTAGTTTCGACAAACTGAACATGTCGAGAAACAAAGACACGACAATCAACTGGATCAAAACATTTATATGCACTTTGGTTCGTGGAGTAGCCTAGGATGTGGATGTCCCAGTCGATTGTGCCAGACAGTCGGTGAAGTTGTAGTAGTGGCAAGTGCTAAGCGGACGGTCTTTACATCCGGTGGCAGCTCGTACACATCCCCTTTATTCTGGCCTCGGAGTAGTTGCGCCCCCGTGGACAGGTCCTTCACAACAAAACAATCAGAGAAAAACTCCACTGAGACTGGATTAGCTTTACATAATTTAGCAACAGACAGTAAACGTTGCTGAATGGCAGGAACACAAAGAACATCCTTGAGTTGCAAAGAAGCAGCAGATGCATAGAGAGTAGAGTTTCCAATGTGTGTTATTTTCAAACCTGTACCGTCGCCGACAAGAACCTCATCCGGACCATTGTAGTCTGTGTAAAGAGAAAGATTGCCAAGGTCTGGGGTGATATGGTTGGTCGCTGCGGAGTCCATTAGCCAACCGGGACTGGAAGGAGCAGCAGAGGTGTGATAAGCTTGAGCAGGAGGGCGTCCATGAAGATTGTAGCACTCTTTTGCAGTGTGCCCGGGTTTGTCACAGAACTGACAAAATATCCTCACTCTTCCACCACGACCAGCACTGTGTTGATGACTAGTAAAGTCAATGATATTGCCACGGGAAGGTTGTTGGTGGTGTTGAATTGATTGAAGGGAAGAGGGATACTGTCCTTGATAAAATTGCCGATGAGGAGTTTGTTGAGGGTGCTGAAATTGCCTTTGATGAGAGGGCTGCTTGGAAGGAGAGAAGCCACGGCCACGCGCTGCTCCTCGTACACCACCACTCCCACGATGAATAGAAAAGGCTGTTGTGGGAGAGTGTCGGTTGGCAGCAAGGTCAGTTTCAAACTCCACCAATCTGTCATGGAGATCTTCGACATCAATCGGGTTCTCACGAGCACGAAGGGCAGCAGCGAGAGGGCCAAATTCAGAGTTCAGCCCTCGTAAAATGTTAAGGACAAGATCTTCATCAGCAACTGGTGCTTGAACGAGAGCTAGCTCAGTGCATATGGTTCTCATCTCCTGGAGAAAAGCAGAGACAGAACGGTTGCCTTGTCTTTCTTGCACAAGCCGGGTCTTCAAACCAATGATCCGAGATCGAGAATTTCCTGCATACATTCTCTCAAGAACGGAGTATGCTTGACGGGCAGTGATTGATGCCGAGATATAGGGAGACACCACATCAGATACAGAGGACAATATAGCATGTAAGATCAATTGATCTTGACGATACCACCGATTGTGTCCAGGAGCGTCTTCTGCCGGTGCTGTTTTTGTGCCATCAACAAATGACAGCAAATCCAGACCACGAAGAAGAGTTAGCAGCTGTGCACGCCACTGAGGGAAGTTATTTTTGTTTAACTTCGTGGGGAGCTGTGAAGTCGGATTGAGAGAGACGACGTGATTGTCGTCGCCGGTGAGTGGGAGCACCACAGAGCCGTCGCCGTTTGATGGGGAATCAGACATGTTAATTAATAGAGAGGAAGGATTTAAAAAAAAATGTTGTATCTATCTCCCAATTCGGTGGAGAAGTCGGAGAAGATGTGCGGCCGGCTTGGGGTGGTTGTTTTCTATTTGGGTCGGTGAGTTGGGGGTTTTTGGAAGTTGTTGTTGTCGAAGAGAAGGAAGGAGAAGAAGCAAGAAAAATAGCAGATTGTGTGGCTTGGAGATTTGGGGCTAGGTTAAGGGATCGGAGCACTTGTGCTTCTGTGCTCTGATACCATGTGGAAATATGTAAAGAGTAATTCTATTGATGGAATCTCTTTCTATTGAGTTGATACAATAGTACAAGCTATCTATATATATACATGCATTCAAACAGTAAAATAAGTAGATGGTTATAAGTGTAGTTGGCAGAAGATAAGGAGAGTAAAAGCTATCACATGGTTCTCTGAAGATGGATAGATGGCGAGAGCAGAGCAGTGGTGGAGGGAAATAATGGTGATGGTGTGAGCATGGTCTTCTGTAGAATGATATGGGTTCTATTCTAAATTATATCTCTATCATGCAAACTTCAAACCAATGACTTAAATAGTGGTATAAGATAGATATCATAATTTTCTCCAAAAAAACTCAAATGATTTGAAAGACTTCAACTTTTCATTCATTGTGTTGGCTCCAATCCCATACACTTTGCTATTTTGGTATCACCTTCCCAACCATTAGGTGGATATCTTATTCCTCAACAAGCATCTAAATATGTCTTTAAGAATTATCATGGGTGGTACTTGCACACTTTTTTTCTCAGTAGTTGAACCAATGCGGGCGGTGGCCGCCGGCATTGCATGAGCATATGGATTCTACAGCTGAAAGTGTTCACTGGAGGCAAATCAGACAATGTCATTATGAGTTGATCCTTTCGACTTCAATATGCTAGCTCGGTTAAATATGTATTAGTGTTGGAAGAACCGAAGAAGTCATAGGTGTACAAGGAAGTTCCCACATGATTCATGATTGGTCTGCGGAATGCATGATTCACTATTATTCATTGCACACTATGGTAACTAAGGCGGTGTCATCTTCTCTCCGCATTATTGAGTAGCCTGTCATGGGTAACAAGCCATAGGAACATACGGATGCGTTGCATGGTTGGAACTTGGAACTCCACAAATAATTAAGGTGCGGCTGCATAAACTCATGGGAGCGTGCGGTGAGGTGGTACGACATCTTTACGGAGAAGCAACCATTTATCAGGAAGGAATTGGTAGGAAATAATCGATTGAAGGCGTGATTATATCACTCTCTTTAGAGTGCTATTTGCCCCCACTACAAATTGCTGGTAGGATCTAGCAAACCACCCCCAAGAATCCCTTCAATTCAAAGTCTGGAAGCAGTAATCTTGCAGAAATATGTGTTTATGAAATATAGAAGGAAACGGGTAGAAGAAGAGTTCTCTCGTATTAAAAAGAGTTATGACAGTCATATATTTATACTTGTGAAAACTGGAAGTTGCCTTCCGAAAAGATACTTCCTTTCACAGAAAAATGTAGTTACATTTCCCGAAAGGACACATCCTTTCACAGAAAAAGGAAAGTTATCTTTCTAGAAGGATACTTCTTTTTACAATATTCAAACGTTAATTAATTAATATAAAATTTAATTAGTTAATTAAACTGCCAAATTACTCAATTCTTATACTTTTCTTCTCCCATCAATCTGGTATTACAACTCTATTGACTACCTCTAATACAATCGGTTCAGAATCTCCATGTGCCAACTTGGTCTTCTTGCTCCGCTCGAATTAGGTATAGCATTACCTGTGAGATAATATCCTAGGATAAGTAGTACCAAAAATAGTCAGAGTTCCATTTATCACACAACAAAAGTCAACTACATGAAGCGCCAATGTCTCAACACAGGGGAGGTTGTGATCATAGGTTAGCAGCGACTCTCGGTTATTCAACCAACAACCGCTACAAAATCTTTTACAATGACCATTTCTAACGTTCTAAACGATACCCTCGTCCACCAGATGCCAAACTCGCAATACGTCTCACCGTAAATTTGAAAGGATACCTTGGGTCCTTGAAGCGAATCAGTCCTCTTGTTGCCGCAAGTACTTCACTTAGATGACAAGAGCCCATAGATAATTTGTTTTTGGTGAGGAGTCGCCACGTTGTCTTCGGCATGTAAGATTAATTCGTCCCTATCTAGTCTCGACGTTCCAAACCGCCCTCCTTCTTTGCTCTACAGAGAGTCTTCCAATCTACCAAATTCATCTTTCGACCACTCTCCATGTTGCCTAGATGAATGCTCTCTTGTCAATGTACTCGCGGGGACTAGATGGAAGAAACGATTGGGCCAAAGTCACACTCACGACAAACGACATTAATGATGAAGCTTTGACTAGAGTAAGTTCTATCAACTAGGTCAGTGCACGTTGCCTTGGATACTCCATCATGGATGGATGGTCGGGACATCCAGGGAGCGCCCAAAATTGATGGTCTGCGGGGTTACCATTTCCTTGCTCAAACTCACACGGTTCGCCGGAGCCACTTTATGCGAGAAGGAGACTCTGAATTTGGCCTTGTTAATTTTTTCTACGGAGGCCGTGATTGATAAATGATAACCCATAAGAATTGGTAATGGTAAGTAATTTCAATTGGCATTCGGGTGTCAGATTGAGATTTGTACTCAAACTAATGGTAAAAAGGAAGGGTAATGTCTATTTTGTTACACCCCATCTTTTTATTAAGACAAAATGACCATTTTCCCCTAAAATTTTTTTGTCAAGTTCCACCGTAATATCAATGAGGACTAAAAATGTGAATTCTTGGTCCGAACGGTGTCGAGTTTTGACATAAAATGAGAGAGTTATAGACATTTATTGAGTTGCGGATTAAACTCACCCATAATTTGTGAAATTCTCAAAATACCCTAGAACAATTCAAACCCTAAACCTAATCCTACCCAATTCCCCATACACATCCACTATATTCCTTATTTATATATAAATCAGCTAAAGCCAAAAAGAAAGGAAGAGCTAGCGGCAACAAAAACCTAGCTCCTCCATCCTCTCAATCAATCGCGTTATTCTGCTAACCCTTTAAGTGTTTAGGAGATACTAACACGGTGGGATATTAGGGTTCATGCGATTCGACTGGATCTAAGTTTTTTTTTTGCTTCATTTTTTGGATATGAGATTCGTCATTGGGGATTTGGGATTCTTGTCGGGGGATTTGAGATTCGCTTTATGTGCCTTGGGATTCGATTTGAGGGATCTGAGATTTTTTATGACTGGGATCTGGGATTCAATTTGGGATTCTTTATATTTGATTTAGGGTTTCATGGGTTCGACAAGATCTGAGTTTTTTTTGCATCGTTTTTTGGAACTGAGATTCGTTGTTGGGGATCTGGGATTCTTGTTGGGGGATTTGAGATTCGCTTTCTGTGCCTTGGGATTCAATGTGGGGGATCTGGCTTTCTTTTGATTTGGGGGATCTGGGATTTTCTATGGCTGGGATCTGAGATTCGATTTGGGAGATTCGGGATTCTTCTTATTTGATTTAGGGTTTCATGGATTCAACTGGATTTGAGTTCTTTTTTTTTTTGCTTCATTTTTTAGATTTGAGATTCGTTGTTAGGGATTTGGGATTCTTGTCGGGGGATTTGAGATTCGCTTTCTATGCCTTGGGATTCGATTTGGGGGGTTCTGAGTTTTACTCGTTAATATGTTAGTTTGTTGACTTGAGATATTATTTAGCATGCTTGGGATACCAGTTCGTTGAATGTGGATATTGTTTGGGGGGTTCTGAGTTTTGCTCGTTAATATAGTAGTTTGTTGACATGTGATATTATTTAGCATGCTTGGGATATCAGTTTGTTGAATGCTGATATTGTTTAGGGGTTCTGAGTTTTGCTCGTTAATATGGTAGTTTGTTGACCTGAGATATTATTTAGCATGCTTGGGATACTAGTTCGTTGAATGTGGATATTGTTTGGGGGGGGTTCTGAGTTTTGCTCATTAATATAGTAGTTTGTTACATGTGATATTATTTAGCATGCTTGGGATATCAGTTTGTTGAATGTGGATATTGTTTGGGGGTTCTGAGTTTTGCTCGTTAATATGGTAGTTTGTTGACCTGAGATATTATTTAGCATGCTTGGGATGCCAGTTCGTTGAATGTGGATATTGTTTGGGGGGTTCTAAGTTGTGCTCGTTAATATAGTAGTTTGTTGACATGTGATATTATTTAGCATCCTTGGGATATCAGTTTGTTGAATGTGGATATTGTTTTGGGGGTTCTGAGTTTTGCTCGTTAATATGGTAATTTGTTGACCTGAGATATTATTTAACATGTTTAGGATACCAGTTTGTTGAATGTCGATATTTAGCATGCCCATGATGCATGGATATTTGTATGCTAGGTCTGAATATTTGTATGCCCTATATGGATATTAGTCTAGACTGTGCATATGCCTTATGATTTCTTTTCATGTATTTCAGGAATTTTACAAGATGACAAGATCCAAAAGCTGTTCGATTCCAGCTCCTCCATGAGAAGGGGAGGTGGAGGCACATCACTGGCTCAAAACTATTGCTTTCTCATTTCTTATGTGGTTGTGTTTTTTCGGATTTGAGATTCTGGGATTGCCAAGTTGTATTGGCATTGAGTACTAGTTTTATCGCGGTTTGTCGATAAAACAACTCTTTTTTATTATGGATTTGAGTTTGTTATTCTGGAATATTATTATGTTAGGTCTGGATATTAGTTATGAAATGTATGGATATTAATCTGCGCTGTCTGGATATAATGCTCTCATATTAGTTCTGTGAGGTCCAATGTTACTTAAGTGAGTCTGGATATAACACAACCAAATATTCGATCGTCCTAAAATAATATCCGCATAGTTTAATAAAGACATGGATACTGAGTTGGTGAAGGATGGATACTGAACACAAAATAATATATAGTTCATTTCAACGATGATACTAGTAAATAAATAAATAAGGATAAGACTCCCCCACAACATGGATACAGTTTCATCGGTGTTATCATCATCATCCGACACTGAATTGGAACTGAAAAACAACTCAACAAGGACATCAAGGAACATCGCCACAAACCAATCCATGTAAAAGCCACAAACCTTGTCATACACCACATAGACACCCTTCTAATATCCATTCATTGCAAAACTAATATCTAATAGTTGTATCATAAACCGTGAACCCTAAACAAATAAAACTAAACCCTAAACTCTAAAACCCTAATCACTAAAATCTAAAAAATAAAAACTATTATTGTTTGCCCAAGCAGAGAATATTCAAAGGTTCCACACAAATATCCAAACACATGAACTAAAGGAATATTTCCTCAAGTTCAAATAAATATCCACACAACCCAGAAAAATATCCCAATATTTCGGAGAAAAATCATGTGATCAAATTACAACTAAGAATGACAACTATCACATCACACTAACTAATATCTAATAGTTGTACCCTAAACCCTAAACAAACAAACTAAACCCTAAACTCTAAATCCCTAATCACTAAACTCTAAGAAATAAAAACTATTGTTTGCCCAAGCCGAGAATATTCAAAGGTTCCACACAAATATCCAAACACATGAACTGAAGGAATATTTCCTCAGGTTCAAATAAATATCCCCACAACCCAGAAAAATATCCCAATAATTCAGAGAAAAATATTGTGATCAATAAAAGAAATTAGGGTTAATACCTTCTTCTGGTCCGAATTATGACCATATAATCAATTTTGGCACATGGTTTCAGAAATTAACATCCTGGCCTCAACTATGCATCATATAGACTAAATTAGCCCGACACATGCTTTGACCGTCAATTTGGACGGTCAACACCATTGACCGTTAGTCAACACGCCATGTCATTGCTTAGTCAGCCTAAAAATTATAAAAAATTGAAATTCAAATTATCTTTCTAATTATTATTATTTATTATTTTGAAATTAACCAAAAATTAAAATTCAAAAAATATATAATAAAGTTTATGTTTTATCTTTTGGGACATTTGAAAATGATAATTTTATAAATTAAAAAATTTTATCAAATTAAATTTTATAAATGTAGGAAATATTAAAAACATAAACCAAAAAATAAATTTTCTAATTCAAATTAATTTTTAATTTTTATTATTTATCATTATCAAATTAAACAAAAAAATAAATTTTATAAAAACATAAAATAATTTTTCTATTTTCTATTTTTGGTAATTTTAAAATAAAACATTTATAAATTATCAAAATATTATATATTTTTTAAATTACCCAAAAATAAAAAGTAAAATATATATATATTTTTAAATTTACCGTTTTCAAATGTCCCAAAAGATCAAATATAACTTTTTATATATTTTTTAAATTTTAAATTTTGATTACTTTCAAAATGATAAATAATATTAATTAGAAAATTAATTTTAATTTTAATTTTTTAATGATTTTTAGGTTGACTAGGCAATGACATGGCGTGTTGACTAACGGTCAATGGTGTTGACCGTCCAAATTGACGGTCAAAGCATGTGTCGTGCCATTTTAGTCTATATGCTGCATAGTTGAGGCCATGATGTTAATTTCTGAAACCAAGTGCCAAAATTGATTATATGGTCATAGTTCGGGCCAAAATAAGATATTAACCCATATTACAACTAAGAATGACAAATATCCACAACACTCTAACTAATATCTAATAGTTGTACCTAAACCCAAACCCTAAACCCTAAACAAACAAAACTAAACCCTAAACTCTAAAACCCTAATCACTAAACTCTAAAAAATAAAAACTATAATTGTTTGCCAAAGTCGAGAATATTCAAAGGTTCCACACAAATATCCAAACACATGAAGTAAAAGAATATTTCTTCGGGTTCAAATAAATATCCACACAACCCAGAAACATATCTCAATATTTCTGAGAAAAATCCTGTGATCAATAAAAGATAGGCAAAATACACTTCTATATCCATAACTTTCACGTTAGTGACAAATATATCCATAACTATCGAAATACACGAAATACCCAGAAAAGCTTAGTATCGTGTGACAAATCTATCCATTTCCGTTACAAACTTTTAAGTCGTTTGTTACGGCGTCAGTAAATGTGACTGAATGCTGACTAGGACCATAACCATGCCACACCTAAGCTCCAGGTCAGCAAATTTGACATGTGGATGCCATGTCAGCAAAAAATAAAAATAAAAAAATTATCTCCGCCACATCGATTTCTTCTCTCTCCCTTGGCTCCAACATCAAACAAAAGGAGGAAAGGGGGAAATCGAGTTCTGCGGATTTTGAGAAGAAGTTGGCTCTTCCCCTGCCAACTGCTACCACTGAGCATGGTCCATGAAACCGTACCGGATATCGTATCGGAAAAGTCAGCGGTATGATATTTTATGATAAAATCGTGGTTTAACCGTTATTCAACCGTTAGATCGTTAAATACCGCCTACCGGTTTAGCCTCCAATAATGGTATTTCGTGGTTGAACCACTGGTACAGTACGGTTTCATGGATCATGCCACTGAGAAGAAGCTTATTAGGCAAAAGAGATTTGGATCCACAACCGCCGGCGGAAGCTCTTCACTACATCAATTTCGAGTATCAGCGGCAATGGCTGCATCCACGTGCGTCTTCTCCTCCTGATGCTACTTCCTCCCAACCGCGCGCCTGAGAAAATCGGCGAATCCCATTGCGAGAATCGGCGAGTCGGAGAAACACGCCGGCGATTATAGCTTTTTAAACTCTCGTAGACAGAAGACGAGGAGGATAAGGTTTGTGGTCGGGTCGAGTTCGGGCAAGAGACCGGACGAACCATCATCGTCATCGATACCGTCTTGGGCAGACCCCAATTCGGACGAACCGCCGCCGTGGGCTACGGGAGAAGCCGCCAAAGCGACGACCGGCGGGGAAGAATTTAAGATCCCCTTCTTTGCTTATCTCCTCGCCTCCACAATCACTGCAATCGCCGCCGTAATCTTCAGAAAAGAATACCCAAATTGAAATTCAATCCTCCGCCAAGACCTGTAATTTCTTGCAGAAATCTCACGATTGTGGTGCTGCTGGTGATGCAGATTGGGTCGGTGTTCGAGTACGTGAACCAGAAGCCGGTTTTCGGGGTGCTTGACCGACAGTTATGAATCCGGGTTGAAGGTTGGGAGAGAGATTGACGGGGGGATTCGAAGAAGAAGGGGGAGATCGAAGGTTGGGACTGAGATGCAGAGAAGAAGAAGGGTAGATCAGAGGTTGGAAGAGAGATTGATGGGGAGATTCAAAGAAGAAGGGAGAAGATGGAAGGTCGCTCTTCCAGGAGGAGTAGCGGCGGGGAAGGGAAGAAAAGGTATATCAGAGGTTGGAAGAGAGATTGATGGGGAGATTCAAAGAAGAAGGGAGAAGATGGAAGGTCGCTCTTCCAGGAGGAGTAGCGGCGGGGAAGGGAAGAGAAGGGTTTAGTCCCGTCTCTTTCTCTTTCTGTTTTTTTTTGTTTTGTATTTTAATTTTTGTTTCTTTTTTCTTTACAATCCACATCATTTGGTGGGGTAAATCAATCGCCAACTCAGCTTCTACCGTTAGTCTAGTTATACCATCAACTGACGCCGTTAACTTGACACGCCAAAACACAACACCAAACTGCGACCAAGTGTAATCGCAGTCCGGGAATGCAGTAACAGTCAAGTTATATTATCAACCCGGGGTCTAGATCTACTGCTTACTCTGTGATTCTCTATTATCTAGCAAACTAATTCGAGTGATTGTTGTTTAAAGCAAAACAATAAGAAAGCAGTAAATTGTTCGGTTTTCAAAGTCAGGAAAGAGTCACTCGGGATTGAGTCCCCCTAGCCCCTTAGTTAGGTTCAATTGTAATTACCCTGGGTTGATTCACTGTTGATTAGACTGCAGAAGTTCCGACAGTAGCTTGGAATCTCTTAAGCTGACCAAGCCCTCTCAGTCTAGCTACCCGGCAGACGACTAGTCTTCACCGGGATAGAAAGCTGAGGCTATGAACACAGAACTCCACTACTGGAATTGAATTCCAGTACAAAGCAGTAAACTGGCTAACTCTCGTATAGCCAATCTCCTACTATCGAATGAAGAAGCTCTAACAACCTAATCAGATTCTATCTATCTCAGGTTGCAGTAGAAATCGAGAAAAGCTGATCAGGCTCAAATCAATTCAATAAACATGCATCATTCGATTAAAATCAAACAGTAATATCACCCCAAGTCATTACAATCAAATCCCTAACACAAGGAAATAGGGTTCTTCATACTCAAGTGAGAGAAGGGTTCTACTCCATAGAGAGAGAAGAGAAAACAGTAATCGGATTAGTCATACTCATAATGATGAGAAAAATCTGCTCCGGGATGATGATTTCCACTCTTATGACGATCTCCAAGCTCGATTCGACGAAACCCAGCTCCAAGATAGCTTCTAGGATGTGTTCTTCGTACTTTCTCTCTAGGGCTCTGTTTTTTGCTCTGAAAACTCGATTCTCCCACTTTTGGCTCGGAATAGGCTCTAAAACCAGAATTTCCCGACTCGCACGGCAAGGCCACACGGCCGTGTGGCTCACCACTTTGCCCGTGCGAGTCGAAACGCGGCGTATGGATTAGTCGACCTTCAGCCATCTTGCACGGCCAGGGTTGCACGGCCGTGTGAGTATTCCAGTCTGCCCGTGCTCGGCCTCGGCAGAAATCACACGGCCAGGGTGCTCAATGGCACGGCCGTGTGAAGGTTGTTTGTGCCCGTGTTTGCTCTCGCACAATCCCACACGGCCTGGCTTGGCCTTTGCACGGCCGTGTGATGCCACGGTCTGCCCGTGCAGCTTCCTTGACACCTCGCCACGCGTCCGATCTTCGTCCAATCGACCCCAGACTCGCTCCCAAGCCTCCATTCACGTACTAGGACCTGAAATATCACAAACAAGCACAACCTAGTGTGAAATCGGCCTAAAACACGAGAATCAACACCTCAAACGGTGTAAGAACGAGGGTAAAAACATGTGTAAATAACGGTCTATCAAACTCCCCCACACTTAACCGTTTGCTTGTCCCCAAGCAAACCAAGTCAGACACCAGGTAAGCTTACATATTTCGATCAACCAACATTGGGGACAAGTCATAAAGGCACATAACACGTGAATCGTCCTGGTTTTCAAACATCAACACATGAACAACCTCAATAACAACCTGGACAACCACCACAAAGGACATTCGAGTGCAGCAAATCGAGTAAAGGAAGAGTCTCCCTTCTGTTCACTAGCCAACCTAGACTTGACTCAACCACTCACTCAAAACAGTCAACTCATGCATCCAACTCAAGACATCAGAACAGAGACCGAGCAATCTAGGTCCTCACCAGGGTACAAGAGTATAAAGAATATGAAAATGAATCACTCACTCTCGACCAGTGGGGTCAGGACAATTTAATGCGAAAAATGCGCATGCTATTTCTCTCAATCCCTAACATCTCTTCACCATGATGGCAGCCTCTAAATGCTAGAGTTCACATATAGGATGTCATCACTAACTAATCAAGAGGTCTTAGACACATGTTCAAATGACTGTCTAGGGTCTTGGACATGGGGAAAAGGCCTTTTAGGTGGTGGAAGTATTCATAGCAAAAGGTTCCACATTTCCAAACTCACACAATCACAGTCGAACAAACCGGTATTCCCTTTCTGCTATTCTGCAATACTCAACATCTCAAGAGCACAAGAGCGAAGGAGGCATAAACATCAGCATTTCCAAGCCAGACTGCTAAGAAACACTACTTAATGGGCATTATTCAGATTTTTGGTAGTGACTCTCTTTTGCTTTCAATTTTTCTTTGTTTTTTCTTTCATTTTTCTTAAGAGAGCCACCACTTCTGCACATATTTCAAACATCTGCCCAACTTTTAAGCACTACCTCCAACACTCACATAAACTTTAGCAGAAACAACAGAGAATATGTAAAAACCACTCTGTGGAACCTTCTAAAAGATGCAACAAGGGTGATTTTTTCCGTTATAGACCAAAAGAAAGGATAACACACGGCTCAAAGGGGCTGACTAGGGGATATGACACATCAGGAGAGTCAGTTTTGGGCGTGGGCTCATCCTATGCCCCCATCATCTTAGCTAATGACAACGTGAATGCTACACATCATGAAAGAGGGATCTATCGCACAAGAAAGAAACGAGCAGGTTCAAATCTCACATGGCTACCTATATGCTCTATCTCACATTCTGATACCCTGAACTAGATGCATAAACGACTGTCAAGAACAAGTGATCAGATCAAGTCACAGTTGGTAAGCAAACAGTTGAAAAACTGAACCCCTACATCGTTCTACTGCACATCTCAGCCCTCATCATAGGTTGTCCTAGTCGCAAACAAGTTGTCATGCATTAATCCGAAAACCGTTCAATTCATCAATCAAAACACAGTGCCAATATGATCAAACAGCAGTACTTGGAGCCCTCAAATCGTAAGATTCGGACAGCGGACTAGGCTCCAAGCACCCATATATACGTTCCAATAAATACAAAGAACCCCCCCACACTTAAGCACGACATTGCCTTCAATGGAGTAGAGGGAAAGATAAGGGGAACGATGTTACCGGATGGAAACACTGCTGGGGGACTGGAAGTGGACCAGTCAGCGAGACACAAATGGGAGAATGGACAATGCTGCACAAATCGAACACCAGAAACACACTAGCACACTGTGCGTTAGGGATAAGTGTTAGCCCAGATGGCTACATCAGAAACAAACCACAAAGGAAAACCAAACACAAAAACAAACGACACTGAGTTCAAGCTCCGCACACATGGAGCAAACACACAAAAGTCTAAAACGAAAAAGAAAACACACTGAGACGGGCAACGAGTACAGCCTACTCGTCGCCAAGATCGTCGAGGTCGATGTCGTTCATGAACGCGTCATCATCAGCAGCGCCAGCAGCACCATCATCACCGTCAGCTGGGGCATGTGGAAGTGGGGAGTCATCCCAGGGAGTCCTCCAGACAGGCTGCTCGCCCGGGAGCAGCTGGAGCAGGTGCTGCTGAACCTCCTGCATGCGCCGTGAACGGCGCTTCTCCCGCTCGATGTGGGCGAGAGTCACTCCCTGCTGTGTCTGGAGCATGTCCAGACGCTCATCATAAGCGTCCATCCTGCGCTGGTACGCGGCCTGGTGCTCCGCGTACTGCTGATGGAACTGCATCTGCTGGTCGAGGATCAGCTGGTTCTGGATCCTCAGCTGCTCGAACTGGGAGGAGAAGTAATCCTGGCCCGGGAAAGCGGAGCTGCTACCCCCGTAATGGAAGTCAGTCTGTGGTGGATCAGCAGCAGCGTCCACATCCTCGGGCTCCACATCATCAACAGCCTCCTCCTCCTGGCCCTCTGGCTGGACCTCTGGCTCGGGCTCCGCGGGGATCTGAGGTTCTGGGAACCCATCGACCCATAGAACACCGTCCCTCTCTCGCAGCAGCTGCATCTTACCGATCGTCTTCCTGCCAAAGATGAGGGTGTCCCCCTCCTCGGTGCACCCCTGCAGTGAAAGGCCAAAGTAGGTGGCCAGGCGGGTGATGAGGGGGCCGCAGTGGAGGCTCTTCAGTTCTGTAGAAGTCTTCTCGAAGGTCTTGGCCACCACCGAACCCAGGTGGAGAGGATGGTTGTGCTGGCGGATCAAATGGATGAAGTACAGGGCCCTCTTCGTGATGGCGCTGGCACTGTCTGTTGCGGGGGTGTAAGACTTCGCCAGCAGGTGGTGGAGAAGGCGTTGTCGAGCAGCAGGGTAGATGCCTTCGTCCTCCCGGCCCGGAAGGGACGCGTCTGGCCTGTCCGAGCCAGGCGGGTGTACAGCCTCGCGAAGTCCACCTCCGGTGGGTCATTGACCTCGGTGATGTAGTGCCGACGGTCGTCGTGGTCGAGGTCGAGAGCCTCGGCCAGCTCGTGGTAGCTCATGGACCGGGGGACACCGCCCAGCCTGAATTGGACGGCTGTACCATCCTTCCAGTCGGTCGTGGAAGTGTGCTTGAAGGTCGTGTAGAACTCCCAGACGGGCTCGTAGTAGACCTTCTCGCAGAGGACGAGCAGACGGCGCCATGCGGGGTTGGCGACGGCGGCGGAGAGTTGCTCGTAGCAGTGCAATCGCC